ACCGTTTAAAAACGCTGCTGAGACTATCAAAATATTGATATAATAATATTTTGATGTTTAAACTATCCCTTTAAAAGCAACTTTCTTCCAAAGCCTACCATGAATTCACTGAGGCGTCGTTTCTTGTTCCGGTACATTGTGGATTTTTTTAAATAAAATAATCTTTTTTATCTTATTTTTTATTAGAATGGTCATAATCAAGAGGGCTAGTGATACCGTGTTAGAAAAATAAGTTAATTAAGGGTTTATTTTTTCGTATTTATTATAATTTTGCTAATAACTTTGGTTTGAAAAAAGATATCGAGATACGGTTTTCGCTGACTTTTTAAGCTTTTATTACTCTTTAGTATCAGCTAAAATTACATATACTATCGCGTTTATTTGTTTTTAAACGCGTAATGTTTGATAAATTGTAAGACAGCGCCCTCTGGCGTCTATGTTCAAGAGCTTATTTTTATTGTTTATATAGTATAATATAGAGTAAGAAGTACTCTTTTAAACAAGCTCTCACTTGTTGGATTCCGATCATCCAGTCCGGAGCATGATACAAAGAATACAAGGTATGATATTGCGCAGTTTGGTCATTACGTCACAGGTGATAAACGGCATCATTGGTCGGCAAGCTCCGCGCGCCAGTTTCAAATTGTCAAACAGATGACATTTAAATGTGAAAATAATTTTTCAAATGTCAAGCTCCATGATTTGACATAACTTTTGGGGTTATGTCCTAATTCTTCCCTATTTTAGGTCTTTTTTATTAGTGGCAATTGAACAATATATAATGGATATTTTTTTGTTTGGCATATGACGTCACAGGTGGTATGCGCAAATTTAACGAAATTGGAGCCGCTATCGGTCATACCTTGTTTTCTTTGTACCATGAGTCCGGAGTTATTGCATAACATTTAAATAAAAAGAGACCTAACTTTCCACCACCACTTTATTTTAGCAGATAGGAGAAAATGGTTCCAACAAAAAAGATCCTAAATTTACTGAAGATCATGAAGCTATTATTTATAATATATCGTATCTAGGCAAAATTTCTTAAAAAATACCATTTTGTTATTTTCCATAGCAGTTACGCCTTCTAGCGGCCGTTCTACAAACTTGAAAATAATTTCCAGCAAATTGTCATAGTCTCTTTAGTGATAACTATTTTTTTCCACAAGCCCTACGACTAATACTTTCCGAGATACAGCCGAGAGCTGTTCTTAGTGAAACACCCTGTACAGTTTTCAATTATCCTTCAATACTATAAACCGTACATTTTTATATACGGTTTAATCATTATGATCTTGCACTCTTCAGTGATATGGATATATATTACTTCTCCACTCAATGTGCCTGGTCATAAGATATAATGACTTGATAATCTACTAGTATTAATAACAATAAAAGTCAACCAATAAAGAGGCAATAACTTGATGATGACGCTATAAAACGGATTGAAATATTTTTAAAAATAGCTATATTGCATGCTAACTAGGGATGGAAGAAGGAATGTTAAAGATATAGCGTGTGGCGGGAGGAATTGCCAGTTTTTAGTAAATGCCGTAGAGATTGTAGCGTTTTTTATAAACATTACCACTGCGAACGGTAGCTTTTCGTTGGTAGAGCAGTCGTGGATAAGGTATTTCACTGGAAAGAACTAATTGACACTAATAACTCGAAATTATAAATATTGGGCGCCAGGCATGAACAGAGAAAGAAAACACTGTTGTTTATTACTTAAAACTAGTGACTATATTCATTCATGATGTATCCTGATGGTAAATAGCATTGTACAATTTTAATAATTATTATAGTGGTTATATGTCGAGTAAAAAGCTATGTATGTAAATAATATTAAATATGTTCTATGAAAAGACTATGAACAAATACAATGCGTGTAACGTTATAGAAAATATAAGAAAGGTAGCATTACTTTATTTAAATTGTTAAATTTTATGCGGTGTTAAATCTGATATGTTGCAACCTGTAGATTCTAGAATCTATGTCTGGTTATTCATCTGTTAATATAGCGTAATAATATCTATAGAAAGTAATACTATTACAAGGCGTAATGTAATAAAACCCTAAAATCTAAATCATATTGTAACAACTAGAACTAGAATACAAATATTTTAATAATCTAACCACTAACATAGTCTGTAATGGATATTATTTAAAATGCATATAAGAATCGAAAGCACCAAAAACCAAATCACACTTAGCTGTTCTTGGAGGCAACTTGTTTCAAAGAGTAGCAGCGTGAGGTGGGTCATCTCGTGTACTGTCTGTCGGCGATCCTGTTACCAAACAACAAAGGGGTCAGAATGAGGACACATTAAGCCGCAGCGCCGACCAGAATGGGCTATCCATACTGTGGCAATATGGGGACACTACCCGTACCTTGAAACACCATTAGGACCTTGGATAATGTCCGTAACTTGGACTGACACAGTCCGTCCATAAAGACCTTAAAATACCAAACTCTTGTTTAAAATCAAACAAGGTCTAATAAACAAATGAATCTACCTCGAATTACCGAGGGCTCACTAAATAATAAAGAACATTCTGGAGGACAAAAGAAACGGGACGCCAACGTGCCAGCTAAAATATGAAATAGGTACAAGTTAGGCTAGTATCCGTAACTCCTACCCCAAAAATACGCAGCAATAAATTTGAAGATGGAATAATCGAATTATTTTCACCATCGAATAATTGATCGCCAATCGAATTTAATGACCTAACATTGGTAGTATTATAAATTTAGCCTAAAAATAAATTGCCCAGCCAGCTCGTCTGGGCTATTTTAAACAAATTTGGAACCATTGTCATACCTATATTCTATCACTGAACAAAAACAAAAAAATTTTTATTCAATGTATTCTATTAACTGTGCCGAAGCTGCCGATTAAATTGTCCATAATTTAAAGTTTTAAATTTTGAGTTTATGATTGTTTGAATTCTACGTTATCAAAAGTTTCAAAAACGATATAAGTATGTCCTTGTTTACGTGCGGTTCGTATTTCTGGCCACCAGCTGCAACTAAGACCATTAGAAACATGAAAATTTAATTTAGGTTCTACAGGTGTTCAGAAATTTGGGTAGATGAAGAATCATATAGTGGAAGATTTTCGTCCTGAACGAAATGAAAATTCTTTCACTTAAACTGATTTATTCCTACGTAGAAATAACAATGATTTCTGGATTTTTCATATCGGACGTTCCTTTCTTTGTCGATTCCCTTTATAAATCAGTTTATGAAAATTGTGTCTGTCTAAAACGAAAGAATAATAATAATAGTACTACTAATTACTAATATTCGTATTCGTCCATAAGAGGTTATGTTTTATGTTCTTTTGTAATTCGGTTACCACAGATATAGTATAAAATACTACTAATTTTTATCTCGATTATATCGAAAAAGATAATTCGAATTAGTTAGTTTTAATTTACTATCGAATTAGTCGTATTATTTAATTCGAATTTTCCCAACACTAGTAATAATAACGAATCAAAAAAGATAATATCTCATTTTTACCTGTAACTTCGAAATAGCAGCTGATTCAAATTATACAGCAAGATTTTTAAAATTGCAGTTTCTCGAAGCAAGGATTTTTTGACGGTGACATTAGGACGGTCAAAGCCAAGTGAAGTTAAGCACGGAGAGGCGCCTTGAAGCGATTTTGACAGCGATCCACAGAACAGTGAAACGATAGGAGGGTTGCCGACTAGAGAACGTAAAAATTAGGCCAAGCGCGTCAAATAAACTATCCGGCCTGAACGAGAGGGAATCCGGTGATGATAGGCCAGACAACATATATTACATATAAAAAAGACATGTAACGAACTAAAAACGTTACAAGATTGACTCAGGATTTTTGTCGATTTGAGCCTGAAGTAAAATGACTTTAATTTTTTAAGAGATGAAATTTAGAAATGAATTTTGAAAATAATGTGTATTAGAAGAAAAGTCAGTGTCGTACCATAATTGAAATGTTTGAAATTGAAATATTAATATTAGGAAAAAAATTGCAACATTTTAATTTTCTTATATTTGTTACAGGTCTATGCGAAGTCGAGAATGGATCATCGAACATCATCCTGGACATCGAAGAAAGCCGGGGATCTTGTAAGTATTTTAACGGTATCAGGTTTCTAATAATTTCAGAAATCTATTATAAATTAAAAACAAACACGGTGTAAACGCAATTTCACACGGAATGAACAACAGTAACGAACGTGAGTTATTATTTATTCAACTTTCACTAAAGAACAGAATATTTTGTTATTGGCATACCGTAAACTTTTTCTAGAAAATTATAATTACGGTTTAAGAAAAGAACTTCATTATTCACTTTAATTGATTTTAGGTGCTTTTTAAAATGTGACAATGATGTTTTGATGCTTTTACAAAATGTTAAAACAGGATTATTAGGTTATCTGACATCTAAAACAGCCTCGACAGTTACCGATGGTAGATTAAATTGACTATTCCTCTAAGGTTACACAATGAGGGCTTATGATCAAGAAAAATCACAGATCTTCCTGGGTCTGAGTAAGAACAATCTTCGGATTGTCACGGGGTTTTTAACAGGACACTGTCTCCTCAATGAACACCTTAGTAGATTGAAACTAAGAAGAAACGGCGAATGCAGATTCTGTGGGGAAGATGGGGAAACACCAGTACACCCTTCATCACTGAGTGCGCCGGAGACGACAAATCCCATCTGTGCCATGAATTTTGGTACGACTGATATTGGAGATGGAGAACTACCTCTATAAAACTGTCCCCTGAGATACTGGCTTTTGTCAAAGCCCTGGGACTGTATGATGAGTTATGATTCAAGAAAGGGGGACACAATGGATCTGAAAGGTCGAAGTGATTAACCCCCCTCCCACCCATTCTAAATTATAAAAAAAAAGGTTACACAATAATATTTATCCTTCCAAAAAATCCTTTATGGGTATTTCGCCACTGCACTCAAAAGTCTCGAATCAAGTGTTCTCGAATAGTTGAATTTCAATATTTTAAATAGTTTTTTTCTTTATTCTTTGTATTTTTTTGTTTCCGACGACGGAAAGAGATAACTTTCCGAAACGTTAAGCATTTTTTTTTCTTTGTTAGTAAATTGTACTATAAAACATAACTTTAATGCTGTGCGTCCGTTTAGGTTTAACGCAGAAGTGTTTACAAAAAAGAATTATTTTATTTTGTAGATTTTCTTGCAGTGCAGTGGCGAAATACCCATAAAGGATTTTTTGGAAAGATGAATCCGCCACATAGGTATAGACATTTTTTTAAGAATATTTAGTTTTAATCATTGTCTAACATTATTAATTACAATATAATAAAAAATTATATTTCCAAAACCTAAAATCGTAAAAAAAATGTCCAAGCCAATGTTCTAATAGATGATAAACCTATGGATAGAGTACAAAAATATAAATATCTAGGTGAAAGTTAATAATTTGAAAACTGGATCAATCAGCAGAAATAAAGTGCTCGAATAGAAATAGCCAGAGCATCCCTTTGTAAACTGCAGTGAGACATCAACTTAAAGCTAGATTAAGAATGCTATAAGCATTTGCAACTCTACTCTTATGGTTCAGAGGCTTGGACACTTAAAAATGCCGAAATGGAGTAGCTTGAGGCATTCGAAAGATGGTGTTATCGGCGTATGCTGAGGATTGCATGGACTGACAAGGTTACAAATGTAGAACTGCGACGCAGAATTCAGAAGGACGAAGAGGTGATTAACTTAAACCCTTAAAAAGAGAAAACTTGAATACTTTGGACACATAATGAGAGGACCTAAATATGCCCTGCTGCAGAACATAACAGAAGGAAAGATAAAGGGCAAAGGGGCCAAGTAAGAAGAAGAACATCATGGCTCAAAAATTTGAGAGAATGGTTTGGAATGACTTCAAACCAGTTATTCAGAACAGCCGTTAACAAAGTTAGAATTGCCATGATGATTTCCAACCTCCATTAGGAGATGGAACCCGAAGAAGAGTTCTCCGCATAGTGTAGAGGCTGTTTTGAACTTGTTAGTCAGAACAGTGTTTAGTTGAGCAGTTAGTTGAACAGAGTTTATCAGCTGGTCGAATGTAGATATAAGTGGATAAATGTACAGGATTATTGTTCTTTATTTCTAAAGCATGTTTTTTATTATTTTTCAGCCATTAGTCAAGAAACCGTTCCTAAAGAATTACCGATAATTGGGGAACCGAATGTAGATATCTTCCTTGAACTGTCCTTCCCAAAAGGACCGCCACTGTTTTTCCTCAATGAGAAAAAACTACAACTATTAGCACCAATAGACAGAGACGAAAATAATTTGTCGCACATAGTTTTTCAGGTAAGCATCATTTTTAAACAATTAGAAATAAGTTTTATATAAATATTTACCCCGATTGCTCCGAACCCATATAGGGATAATAAAAATGCACTGTCCATGGTTAATGATTCTTGTGATCGATGTCTAGTTAAAAAAAGAGAAATACACACGAAATTCCACAGTGTTGTCATAGTTATGCACCCATCTCTCTTTAACTTATATTATAAACCCAGATGCAAAAAACGCAACGGAGAAAATTTAGGTCAAATTTAAAGTGTTATATTTTTGTTATTTTTAGCCCTATTTTCATAAATTTTTTAGCAGGCTGTATATAATTATCTCAACTTTAATTCGTAAACTCAGGTTTTTATTATTATTTATTGCCTACTACCCATAATTGCTTTGAAATTAAGCGTGGAAATCACTTTTTTGTCATTTGGTCGCTACATTAAATTATACCAGAAGAAAAAAATAAAGGTGTAAATGAAAATAAGATGTTTCCTCTCGGAAACGGTAAGTATTTTAAATGCTATTTTTTTTTTCACTTTTCTCGCCTGGTACGGTTAGAAGACGTTCATGTAAAAATTTTAAATGCTATTTGACCACCTTTTTACGTTATGTTGTATTTAAAAAAATGCTGAGAATTAAAAAATATGTTTTTATTTTTTTTTCTCACCCTGTATGTACTACTATATGGCACTACTCTACTATATAGCAACATAAGTAGTAGATTAATTTTACAAGAAAGAAAACCCAGAAAATATCCATTGGTTGTCAAAATTTATTTTTTTTTATTTAAAAAAATATTTTTTTTTAATTTTCAAATTAAAATAACTCGATTATATTGGACTTATTAACAAAAACAGTAAAGAGAAAATATGTTTCTTCGAAAATCGAGATCTACTAGCCCTATTATTTAAGACACCTATTTATTTAATACTTACTCACCCTGTATTACAGCATCTTTAATAAGAGACTTTTTCTAATCTCGCAAAATAATATAATTGTTCAAAATACAGAATATAAATGATGAAAAACTAAACCACTAACACGAAATCATTCTTCTTCTCTGTGTCAATATTATGAAACAATTTATACACAATAAATAATAGGATATTGTTGTTTTTTTCACACCATATATTCACAAAATCGTCCCACTAAGCCCGATTTGCATTTCCCTTGATCACCAGCAGTAAATTTCTCGCAAACCTGAATGAATATGGCTAAAACAGGTAAGGCAGGTTGAATTCAGTGATTCATTATATTGAACACCCTGTGTAAAACCCACGTAGAAATCCTGGTAAAGATCGTTGTAATGTACCAGCCCCTTGGAATTCGTAATATCAAATTCAGTAAAAGTTATCAGTATGAGAAAATATTTATAAGAATCGGAAATAATTATATTTTTTACCTCTTTGTATAATATCCAATCGGTTGATTAGACAGATTTATATAATATATTGAAATTATAATTTATAGAATATATTGACTTTTACTAACCTATAACCCGATTTTGAACACTCTGCTTACTTTATGCTCTAATTAAGGGATTATCTATTATTATGTCTATATATTAGCACAGATTAGGTATCCTATAAGTATACAGATAAAAATCTTGTCCCTAATTCGTGGTACGAAAATTGTTTTTATGACGATGTGCAAACGAGTCAAATTTCCTGTGCGCAAAAATAAACTCGCGTAAAATAACAATAAACAGCGTAATATTTATACTCTTTATTATAAATGCCGAGGTCCAGGAACCTCGCTATCTATCATGTTCGTATCTATTAAGCCACGTCCAAGCTACTCGAACAAAATGTTCGCGAACATATATAATTAAACAGATACTAAGTGAAAATTGTGAGATAGATAGATTTATAAATAATAAAGACAACAAGCACAGCTAACCTAAGCCTATTAAGGAGCGCGGAGCGCCGAACGGCTAGCTTGTACGCCATAGCGTGTGTCTGCCTATGCTAGGCCGGGTCCACATATGTAGCATCTTGGTGTATCATATCTCCGTCGCGTTGCATCAACACGTATCATGATCGATAGTTTGGACGCCGAATTAACGCGATCATATGGTACACCTTTGTGATACCGTATCTGATACATGCCAATCCGAATTTTGGGCGCGTATCTTAACACTGCGTAGCGGATACACGTATCACGATCTGTCATTTGGACGTGTTTTGATACAGTATAACGATACAATAAACTTGATACGCCGTGACCCGTCTTGAGGCGGTTTTTCTCCGATCATCAAAGGGGCATCGAGGGTTCCGTCCTGATAATATAAACGAGAATTGATGAACATGATACGACGATACAATGTGATTTGTTGTACCGTCCACATACACTGATACGCACGCTTGTACGCTGATACGTATGAATTTTATAAGTATGGACGCTTACTTTGGCACGATAATATGCATATTCAGTCGACACAGCCCAAATAATCCTGATACAATAGAGTGCTACATATGTGGACCCGGCTCTAGAGTGCGCGCGTTCTTTTTCCGACGGGTGTCGGTAAATCAAAAGGAGCGAACGGCGTGCATTTCGGCGGACATTGTACCGGACACTTGGTAGGGTCTCATTTAATTTCGGGCGTCCACCTGTGATTTTTATTTTTTACCGAGTATTCGACAATGGGAGACGCAGTTATTGACTGGGATCGTGAAAAACATTTACAATTAATTTGTTTACACAAAGAAAAGATTTTATAATTTTAATTTTATTGTAGGTTGAGTGAGAATAGCTATGTAGCTAGACTTCGTCCATATAATTTCATTTTTGTTAATAAAGATCTTTATGATTATTTTTATTAAAAAAAATACTACTTAATAGGAAGTTTGACACCGGAAATGAAATTTTACCATTACATTTTTATAAATAAATATACCGGGTGTTTCTGAAAAGTGGTTCACTTCTATAACTTTTTTAATTTTTTAGATAAAAAACGAGGTTTGGTATGTTAGTATAGGACATAAATCAGGATTGATCGACGTTTTCATTTATTTTCGGTCACTATACCTATTTCACCGGAAATGACAACAACTTTTGATTTAAATGGTACCCTCGGTATTTTTTTACCGTATATGATAGAAAATGACATTCTAAATAGAATGATATATTATATGTCAACTTTTGACATTTTCAATTTAAAAATGGCCATAAATAAACGTAACGATAATTTTACTCCAAATACCAAGTATGTGGTACTAAATTATTCGTAAAAAATGCTTTTTCCAAATATGCTGAGCTAGCCTCGTACCATTGGAAAAATTTGAGTTATCATTAAAAATACGATTTGGGCATCTTTTAAGCGGCCATGAAAGGATACGAACAAAAATTACACGATCAAATATATGTTTCCAAAGTTCTTTGATTACAAATTAATAGTTTTAACTCAGTCTTGGCACCCTAGATTGAAATTTAAAATGCTATTTTTATTTAATTGGAACTGTCTAAAATTGACGTATGGTATGTCATTCTATTCAGAATGTCATTTTCTATCAAATAAAGTAAAAAAGTACTTAGGATACAATCTAAAAATACAAAGTTGTAGTCATTTCCGGTGAAACAGGAAGCGACCGAAGGTAATTGAATACGTCAATCAATCCCGATTTAGGTCATATACTAACAAACCAAATTTCATTGTATTATCTGAAAAAATAAAAAAGTGAGCCCCTTTTGAGAAACACCTGGTAGAATCGGCTGAAAATGAATACAGGTCTTAAAAATACACTAAAACAATAATCTACCAAGAGACCCCTGTAACCCTCCGCCTGCTAAATATTGATTCTTCAACGATAAAAGTTCTTAAACTGTTTACCGGTTAATTTATTTAATAAAATGCTTGCACTCGAAATCCGGGCACTCGAAAAAACAGCGACTACCTAAACGCATCCTAGATCTATAGAGCAAACTGGTTGTCGCATTCTTCCCCCCACCTTAATCCTCGGGATCGATGCGATAGGCTGTGCCGTCGTTTACGACCTGGCTGCTACGAGTATATGTATAGTGTGAATTATATATGTTCGCGAACGTTTTGTTCGAGTAGCTTGGACGCGGCTTTACAGTTACCGAGATACCAATGCTCGTACCTCGAATTTGTAGCATCTTGTGTTTTTGTAATTACCTCACCATTTACAAAATCCTTTAGATATCTATTCAAAAGACTAAACTTTATTGATAAAAAATATAAAAGTATACATTCATAAAATTTGCCATTATGGTATTTTAGGTCCGTTTTTAATCTCCCAAACAGGTTTAGGCAAATAATACTTAGTAGTTAATCTTCGCAGTAAAGACTGACTCATTTTTAAAAAGGTATTCTAAGAAAAGTTAATGGTTATAAACTTGAGGATTAAGAAGAATATTTCGTTGTGATAATAATTGATGGGTAAATATATTCGGCTTTGAGCTAATCGCTTGTAACTATACAAATGTATTTTTTTGTATTTTTTTTTTCTTAAGAGTCTATTACGCTGTACTTTCAGGTCCCTCTCGGGGGTCGGGTAAAGCGGGTGTGTGGCCGAAGGAAATAGATCGTCCTATTGCTGCCAAAAGTCACTAACTAACATTTTTCCGAACAACCAAATTCAATCACTAACTATGTTTTGAAGCGGAGAATCGATTGCAAAAGTCATTAACAACGATTTCTGGCTATTTATGTTTTATTTTAATACCGAATAGTTACTAACTATAACACCTTTATGCAATGCAATTCATTTTTAGACACATTTTGCTCGGAAGTAATACAAAGTAAGTTAGTGACTTTTGGCAGCAATGGAACGATATATTATATTTCAGAAATCTGCCTAAAGCTTAGCCCGATCCTGTCGCGTTGTAACGTTTTTAGTTCGCTACATTTTTTTTTATATATAATATAATATGATGTCTGGCCTATCATCACCGGATTCCGTATCGTTCAGGCATAAGTTATTTGGCACGCTTGGCATAATTTTTACGTTCCCTAGTCGCCAACCCTGCTATCGTTTCGCTGTTCTGTGGAG